TTCAATATTTTTATCAATTGAAGATAATTAAAAAAGTGAAATTCTCTAAATATGCCATTTTGTGTAAGATTTCAGTGAAGTGGAGTATGTATATAGTATATAAATGCATAAGATGAAGATAAAAAGCACACATCTTTGCAACATAAGTAACAACAGATTTTATATTCTGTCATTTTGTTAGAAATGCAGAGTCAATTTTATGAAGTTTTTGTTAACACTTGCATGCTGCGCGAAAATTTACTGCTTACGTTTAACAAATATTTGTTAAATGGTTTCGAATATGAGGAAATTGGTTTAATTTCACTTCGGCCATTGGCGCCTCAATAATCCTTTAGTTGATTAATATAAATATGTAGAATGGTAAAATTGCTTTTTCAAACGCTCAAGATTCGACATAAGTATGAAAATTGAATTTCGAAAAAGCACAACGAAAGAAAAGCTTTTACTTTTAAATCAATAAAATAAATCAGCTGCTAATTGCAGTTTGCTCGTGGCATACAACGTGACGGAACGTATCTTTAAAAATATATTAACGAAATAACTGATTTAAGGCTTATAATTTGGTTATATAGAAATTAATAACAACTAGAAGTACTATGTTGCAGTGTTTAAAAGTTCATTTTGTATATCTCGTTATTCGTTATTTAAAATGAACAGCATTTTTAGCATTAAGTTCATATATGATGAACATGAACTCGAATCAAATATTTGGTGTAAGAACCATTTAAGTTAAATGATACATGTGATGACATAAATGTATTTTACCTGACATCATAACTGGATGTTAAGGGTGTGTTCAGTTTATTAGTAAGCTATTCGTATCACACTACATAAACTATAAGCAAACTTTAATATAAAGAAAATATGAAGAAAGGTATTTGTTTGTTATATATATATTTTATGTGAACCTTCTGATGAGTATGATTATTCTACATACAATTATTTACTATAATTTAAAACACAAATGAATTTAGCGAAATATAGCTAACCTTTACTTTATTAAACAACACAATCATAACACTTACTTCTCGATGATTGATATTGTAAATATTCCAGTGTGTTTTTTCTCTCTTGCAATTAAAAAATTTTAATAAAAATTTTTTGTTTACTTTTAGAACTAATGATTTGATATAAAAGTTGGTCTTTTAATACATCTTCTCAAAATTGTTCATTGTCTATCTATTTACTACATGTTTTTATGTTTTAAGAAAGCAGCTACAGAATAGTAATAAAATTTCTTTTCTTGCGAAAACATTTAAATTTAATAATTAAAATAACCACACGGGATCTGAAACGAACAGTTTATTTCTGTCAAATTAATGCATTTTTTATGTTTAAGTGCATGTTTCTTATTTTAAAGACATATAGTTAATTCATTACAAAAAAAATTTTTTTTTAATTAATTTCAGGCGAAAAAGAAACACAACCATATTTTAAAAAAGATATCTTTGAAAATTTAAATAGCAGTGACACCGACAGAGCCCACACCCATGTAAGCAAGAAGAGCTTAACATCAGCACCAGTAGATTCTTTGGACAATATAAATTTTCAACGACTGTCAAAGAAATATGATGATAAATGGAAATGCTTTAACGATTCGAATAAAAAAAAATCATGTCCTGAAAATGAGATCAAAAACAAATTTTTAACATTAAAAAGCGAATTGTACAAACAACAATATAGATATACAGCAAAAAGAAGTAAAGTCATTAAAAATAAGTCATCTAGTTATCAAAAAATTTTAAAATATTCATCTAAAACAAAGAAATTTAAAGCAAAATCTGAAACAGATAAAAATATTGCAGACCTTTCTAATAAATTTCTTAAACATAGCGGTCAATTTGGTACAGAAAATGAAAATACAAAGTTCTGCATAAAAGAAGTACAGCAAGAATGTAATGCATGCGATTGGCGGTTGGATTATATACCAAAGTAAGTTTTTGTATACAAAATTTGAGTCTACAAACATAAAAATCATATAAATAATAAAAATTCCATTTAATCGTTAAATTTATTTTTTATTCGGAAGACATGTAATGAGTTTTTAATATTTTTTTGGTAGTAAACTGATTGAGGTGTGTCACTGTGTGCTTGGCTGGCCATAGCTGTAAAAGTTTGAATCAAAATCACTTGTATTAATTTTAGAAAAAAAATTAATGCAATTAAGTCGTGTCAAAACAAAAAGCGACTTGTTTTGATACAAATGTATCAAAACAACATCCCGTAAAAAATATTTGTTTTGACACAATTCATCAATTTTATAATGAATATTAAAATAAATGATCATTAACTCCGCCCTAAAAAATTGAACGCCCCGATCAATGGAAATACAACCGTTTACTTTAGGGGTATAAATATTTTTACAACATACAATCTTTAGTAGTAATATTTAATAGAAATTTAATTTAATTTTAATTATTTATATTTCTTATTTTAATATAATTTTACAATTGAGATACATATTTCTATTTTTAACAGGTGTGCTACGCACACATGCAAATTATATTTTCTTTTGGTAATTAAACCAAAAAAAAATTAAATAAAACAATTTTTTGAATTATTAATACTTTATTACTGAACGTCTGTTCAGCTTTAGATTTACTTAAAAACTAAAAACTTTAAAATTGAAATTATTAAAATCATTCCTCAAGAAGAAACAAAGAAATCCGAAATTGTTTTTTTAGCATTTTGTGAAAAGCATTCATGAGATAAAGTATTGTCCAACGGATGTTTATGTTTATTTTTGCCGATACAAATTATCTGGCAAAACGCGGATATTAGAGTTTATGTTATTTTTTAGACGAGGCATATTATATTTCAAAGCCGCACACCGTTTATGTATGACTATGAATTTATGGGGGTTAATAATTAGAATTAATTTTGATTATGAAGTTATGACTTAACTTGCATTTGAAATGTATAACAGTTTAATTCATTTAATTTAATATAATTTTTTAATTTAGCTATAATAGAATCAATCTAAATTTCTTTAAATACAATTTCTCTTTTCTCTTAAGAATTTATCTTAATACAATATTTATTTCCATTGTTAGCAGGTGTGCTATGCACATGCATTTGGAAATATTCCAATTAATTTTTTTGGTTTTTTTGTTTTGTTTTTTTTTTGTTTTTTCTTAACGATTCGTAAAATAAAGACAAAAATCGTTGTATTATTACACCTAGTACAAATAACAAATAAGAGGTAGTAATAAACAATTTGATTTGAATATTTAAGGTAAAACGAAGCTATTTTGCTACTCGCTGTCCATTAAGTCTGCCACTGTTTTCCTTTTTAGCCGTCTAAGTATTGCTGTAACGTTGACATGTGTTTTCAAATGCTGTGTGTGAGCAATGGCACACCTTTTAGCCACGACGTCGACTGTTGGCATGCCAAGGTCACGGTGGAGATCACTGTTTCTAATGTAATATGGAGCATTTACGATGTATCGTAGTACTTTATTTTGAAAGCGCTGGATAGTTGCAATGTGTTTCTTGCTGGCACAACTCCAGGATTGTATGCCATAGCTCCAAGCCGGCTTTAGTATTTGTTTATAGACCATTAGTTTGTTATGGATCGCTAGTTTAGAGCGCCTGCCGATGAGGTGGTAAAATTTGTTTAGTTTTAGGTCAAGTTCTTCTCGTTTTTTCTTAACATGCGCTTTCCAGCACAGCTTACCGTCGTGCGTAATGCCCAGATATTTGGCTTCGTTGGCGTATGAAATATTTTTGTGGCATTGATATGAATTGGAATATGGTTATGATTTCTCAATGAAAAAACTATATGTACGGATTTTTCCTTGTTTAGCTTGATTCTCCATTTTTTGCCCATGAAGCAATTTGGTTGACTGTGTGTTGTAGATTAGCCGTTGCGTCTGCTATATTGTTTTCGATTGCTAGAACCGCAGTATCATCTGCAACTAGTTGGTTTGCAGAGGGTAAGTCGTGTCTATACAGAAGATATAAAATGGGTCCAAGAATGTTCCCCTGCGGGACGCCTGCTCTAATCTTCTTTAGTGCTGAATCTGCATCTTCATATTTAACACTAAAGTACCTGTCGTTTAGATACGCTGATAGCAGTTCACAGTATTGTATAGGCAATAATGACTTAAGTTTATGAAGTAATCGTTCATGCCAAACCTTATCGAAGGCTTGTGATACATCTAAGAAGATGGCACAACACAATTTCTTCTCTTGCATCGCCAATTCAATGGCATTTACGACTACATGTATTTGGTCGATGGTTGAGTGGTTTTTTCTGAAGCCAAATTGACGATCAGGAGTGAAGCGTCTTCTGTCGATTATTGGTAATAAACGCGATTGTTGGGTCCCCGGTTTGGATATCATAATTACCTCAGCGAATTTCCAAAATATGGCTACATGTTTCAAACGGAGGCACGCTTCTGTGTAGTGCGCGCGCAAAATAATATCACTGCGTATTTTTGATATTTTTCAAGTGCAAAACGTGCAAAATAATTTAAAATTTTTTATCGCAATAAATCGAGACAGTGACTCCTTACAAAATTTATAAAAATATTAGTGCCAGACTTAACGTCAAAAATTAAATTATTAATATATTTATATTGTTGATATGCAAAAAAGTGAATTTATTTGCAAATTTGTTTTGTTTTTTGAATATATTTATTTGCATTAATTCACACACTTTTAAAAACAGCTGATAGAGACAGCAGATATAGCTCTAAAGCTTAAAATAAAAAACAAGAAAAGTGTTCGAAATAGAAAAAAAAACTGTACAAATTGCATCTCACAATATCGTGTAATTGTGTAAATTGAGTAGTTAACTTGTTAACTTATGCTAAATAAATACAATTAATAAATTCTTATATATAAATCAAAAAGAAGTTCAAATCAATTACACAAAATATTACTGCAAAGTGCAATTGTATAAATTATATTGACAGAATAAAAAAAAAATACTTTTTAATTAAATATACAGATTTTTTATTTTTTATTTTTTTTTTTTAACGTTTTGATTGATTATAATGCCGGCTGATCGTACTCCACCGAAAGGTGGAGGCCTACAACAACTTAATCAAGAGCAAGAAATACAACAGCAAGAGCAGCAACATAAAACACAAAAGCAAACTTTACAAAGTCAGCAACAACAGGAACAAAAATCGAAATTGTGTCCACATTCATTGACTTCTGTACCATCTCTATCACCTCAACCCTGGAGTGTTCAATGTAAAACGCCTAACTCCGGGAAAAATGTCGGACTTCCAAATAAACCAATCAAAGTACAAACAGGAATTGAACGATATACTGAAATAGTTAAGCGAAAACTTAGCCCACAAAAAAACGCAAACAATCGTGACAAAATTCAAAAAGTTAACAACAATAATTATAACAATTATAACAACAGATTCAAAGCACTGAGTGATGTAAGCGAAAACATAGAAGAGATCAAAAATAAAATTGTTAAACCACCGCCTATCTATGTAAGAGAAAAAAACTCTAGTGATTTAGTTAATTCACTTTCAAATTTAATAGGTAAAAAAAATTTCTTTGTTGTACCTATTAAAAAGGGCATGATTAATGAAACCAAGGTACAAGTTTCAAGTGAAGATCAGTTTCGTAAAGTAATTGCTGAATTAGAGATAAAATCGAAACAATTTTATACGTATCAATTAAAAAGTAGTAAAGGACTAATAGTGGTCATAAAAGGCATAGAGGCAGGAGTTAATATTAAAGAAATTCACGATGCACTTAAAGAAAAAAACTTCGCAGCAAAAAGTATATTTAATATCTTAAATAGAGACCGTAAACCGCAACCAATGTACAAAGTTGAGCTGTATCCAGACAGAAACAAGTTGAAAAGTGGCGAAGTCCATCCTATTTATTTGCTTCGCTTTCTTTTAAATAGAAAAATTACTATAGAGGAACCACACAAGCGTAATTTTCCAGTACAGTGCTTCAACTGCCAGGAATATGGACACACCAAGTCATACTGTAAACTTGCTAAAGTTTGTGTTATTTGTGCCAAAATCCATAGCTCAGATAAATGTCCTGAAAGCAAAGAAAACCCAGCAGTTAGAAAATGCTCAAACTGCGGTGATAGCCACACAGCAAACTACAGAGGATGTCCAGTTTTCACTGCTCTAAGACTAAAATTAAACGTTGCCCAAAGACAGCGCACCCCACAGCTTAATCTGCCAAACTTCATAACATCTCATTTCCCGCCCCTTCCACAGAACACTAGTCCTACATTGCAACCACCGGCTCCACCAATGCAGCAAATGACGTACGCAAATGCCACTAAACAAATTCCACTTCTTACCAATAGCTCCACTGTTGTTCCAGGCTTTGAAGCAATGCTCGCAAGTTTTACCCAAAAAATTGAACACTTCATGGACTTCATGCAAAATATGATGAATAGCTTGATGCAAAGCATGATACAAAACCAAAGTTTGATTGCTGAGTTGGTAAAACCCAAATGAATGCAATCACAATATGCCATTGGAATGCAAACGGCTTAAGCCAACATGTACTGGAAGTAACTAGATTTCTGGTGAGTAACAATATCGATATACTGCTTATATCTGAAACACATTTAACCTTCAAAAACTGTTTTCGAGTTTATGGATATAAGTTTTATGACACTAAACATCCAGATGGTAAAGCATGTGGCGGTTCTGGAGTACTTGTTAGAAACACAATACAACATTATGAAATTCAAAAGCATTGTTTTAAATACCTACAAGCTACATCAATTTGTGTAATTTCTGGTCTAACTAAAACTGTCGTCTCAGCAATCTATTGCCCGCCCAAATTTGCTATTACTTCTGATCAATTCCGGAAATTTTTTACTGATCTCGGTCCTAACTTTCTAGTTGCTGGGGATTTCAATGCTAAACACACCTTTTGGGGTTCTAGACTAATATCTCCAAGAGGTCGTCAACTGTATGCAGCACTTGGCAACAGCCTTGATGTTGTGTCCTCAGGCCACCCAACATACTGGCCATCAGACAATCGAAAAATACCAGACTTAATCGATTTCGCAGTCATTAATGGTATGAAACGTGAAGATATTGCTGTTAAATCATCTTATGACTTGTCCTCTTACCATTCTCCGGTTATTTTAACTCTGACAAAATTTAATACTAATTCAAATGAGCAGAATAAGAAAACTCTAATAAACTGGAGGAATTATATAAATATTATTAATGAGGAAATAAGTTACAATTCAAATTGTAGTTCACCTAAAGATATTGATAAAGCAGTTGATCACTTTACCAAGACATTAAATAATGCTGTATTTAAAGCCTCTCAACCAAAAAGATCAGTCCAGTCAAATATAGTATTTCAATCACACATTGATTATCTTATTTCTCGAAAACGACAAGCCAGGCGTGAATGGCAAAGACTTCGATCACCCACCTCAAAACAAAGATTAAATAAAGCTTCAAAAGATCTTAAAAAAGCACTATCTGATGACAAAAACCGCTCTTTACAAGAATATCTCGAGCCTCTTGGTCCACTTAAAACAACTATTCTCTGTGGAAGGCAACGAAGAAATTTAAAACGCCAATACAAAATGACCCACCGCTTAGAAAACCGGATGGTTCTTGGGCTCGCAATGACGAAGAAAAAGGTTGTATTTTAGCAGAACACCTAAAGGGTGTCTTTCAGCCAAACCCACAATTATCAGATTTCCAACCTAACATCGAATCTCCTTCTATTGTTGAAACTTCCCTTACGTTGTGTTTGGATAACGTCAAGGAGACTATTCGAACATTTGCAAATCCCAAAAAGGCACCTGGATACGACAAAATTACGGGTAAAATGATACAACAATTGCCTGATTCAGCAATAACTTTTCTAACGGTGATATTTAACAGCATCCTCGCTTTTGGCTACTACCCGAAGCAATGGAAAGTTTCAGAAATAAAAATGATTCCAAAAGCAGGATTCCTAACTTTGATTCCTAACTTTGGCATCATCATATAGACCAATTAGTCTTTTGCCCCAGTTATCCAAAATCTTTGAGAAAATGCTCCTGTCATATATTATGCCAATAATAACTCAAAACAATGTGATCCCAAACCATCAATTTGGATTTCGAACAGGACATGGCACTATTGAGCAAGTTCACAGAATTGCTAAAGAAATACATACTGCCTTTCAACACAAACAATACTGTTCCGCTGTTTTCTTGGACGTAGCCCAAGCTTTTGATAAGGTTTGGCACGAAGGTCTTATGTATAAAATAAAACGTTATCTTCCTGAAAATATGCATAAGCTATTGTATTCATATATATCTTCTAGAAAATTTAGATTGAAATACAATACCTTTATTTCAAGAGAAATCGACATAATGGCTGGTGTTCCTCAAGGAAGCGTATTGGGGCCGTTTCTGTACATAATCTATACAGCTGATCTCCCACTACTCTCAAATCACATACTTGCTACTTTCGCGGATGACACTGCAATTCTTAGTTCTAACAGTGACCACATAAGGGCGTCCCAAAGTCCTTCGACTCACTTAAGTCTATTGGAGAAGTGGCTAGCAAAATGGCGCATAAAAGTAAACGAAACGAAAAGTGTGCATGTCACGTTTACTCTGCGAAAAGAAACGTGCCCCCCGTTAAGTTGAATAACATCATTATACCTCAGTCACATGATGTAAAATATCTTGGCATTCATCTTGATAGAAGGCTGACTTGGACTAAGCACATTGAAAGCAAAAAATCTCAAATTAAATTAAAATCACAGCAGCTTCTTGGCTTATTAATAAAAACTCTAAGCTAACTCTGGAAAATAAAGTCCTGGTATACAATTCAATCTTAAAACCTATATGGTCCTATGGTATAGAACTCTGGAGTGCAGCATGTGCTTCTAATATCGAAAAAATACAGAGAGTTCAAAACAAATTACTTAGACAAATAACCGGTGCTCCTTGGTATCTCAAAAATGTACATATCCACAACGATCTTGGAATCCCAACTATTGCAGACGTCATTACAACATGCGGCCAAAAATATAAAGTGAAACTTCACCAGCATAGTAATCCAATGGCGCAACAGCTGCTTTCTGATACCACAATATCTAGACTTAAGCGAAAAAGCTTCGTACCACCTTAACGTAATTTTACTAAAAATGTTGATATAAATTTTGATAATAATAATCCATTTCATTTTATTATAAAGTTTAAACTCCTTTTTTGCACCTGCTAATTGCATTATGTTTAGTTTTTAAGATTTGATTACATAATTGTCAATTTCTTATCAGAAAGATACAATTAAAAATAAAATAAATAAAAAAAAAAAAAAAAAAAATTATTGTGTAATTTACTTATTTATTGGGTAAGTTTCGAAGAACTTCAACCGTTATCAAGTTAAAACCAGGAGATTTTTTGAGTTTTATTTTTAAAATTTGTTCACTCACTTCTTCCTTAGTGACTGGAACAATTGCAATGTCGCCTTTGGGTCAATTTGTACTTGATCCAGTAACATCTTGACCTTCATTTGGACTGAAGGTTTTCTCTAGGTGTTCAGCAAACAGGTTCGCCTTTTGAGTATTTGTTTTAGCCCACTGAGTTTCGTTTATTTTCACTGGGGCAGGTTGCTGCATTGGTCTGTTAAATGATTTAGCAGCCTTCCACAGAGAGTATTCATTATTTTTGTCTGCCGTGAGGCCTCTCAGAAAACTATTAGAGGTATTATTTTTGTATGATTTGATGACTGTGTGTAACTTTTTAGTTGCTCGGTTTAGTTTGGATTTAATTAACGGACATTTAGTTGCTTGCCAACGTTTGCGCAATTTTCGCTTCTCTATAATCTTTTTTGTGATGAAGGGTGGGTATTTTTTTACCATGTAGAGTTTGTAGTTTTGGTGTTGGTGTACTGTTCCACGCTGCCATCTGCAATTGCTGAGTGAAATGAAGTACTGCATCATCAAGTTGCTCGCTGTTAACAATATGATCAAACTTGTGCAAATGTACAAGCTGAAGCTGAAAATATTTTCAGTCGGTAAATGTATTTGCTAACTTGGGTGTGTTCTGGTTTATTGTTGGATTTTGTGAAACTATCAGCAGCACTAGTGAGAGGTCAGAGGTAATGTCGAACACTTCTGAGATGATTAGGTGAGATGCTGGAATGTTTTTGTAGACAAAGAAGTCGATTAGTTCTGGAACTTTGCTAGTATTCGACGGTCAGTACGTTCTGGTTTACCAGTTGAAATTGAATTGTAAGCTGCGAGTTACATGGCTTTGTACATTTTTCTTCCCTTAGTTGTAGTAAGTCTTGAACCCCAAAACGTATTTTTTGCGTTGGAGTCTCCTCCAATTATGTAACGGCATTGAAACCGGTTAAAAATAAATAAGTAGTCTGCGCTCTTCAACTGATGCCTAGGAGGACTATATAATGCAGTTACGACCAGCGGTTGATTAAAGGTTTCCACGGAAACAGAAGTAGCTTGAAATTCAATTGTGCTATATTGTTCTAGTAAGTGATGTTTTATCGAGTTTCTAATTATGACAGCGCTGCCACCCATAGCGCAATTATCCGGATGTGTGGTATAGTATAGAGTATAGTTTTTAAACGTTACATGCGATTGCTTAGTAAAATGAGTTTCAGCGATTAGACCGATATCAATGTTTTTGCTATTTAATACGACTTCGAGTGCATTTTTATGTTTTGTTAAGCCATTCGCATTCCATAAGAATAGTTTCAAACGATTAGTCATAATCTAAAAATTGCATATTGTGCTTTAGCACGCTCAGACGTTGTTCGAGGGTTTTAAATATCTCTTCTTGTAGATTAAGTTTTGGTTATATAATTGGTTTGTGAGTCAGTACTTTGAATGGGTCCCTTTACAGTTTGGGCGTAAGTGACTGTTCTAACACGAGTAGGTCCAATAATTTTGGATTTATTTTTTGTTACAGCAACTTGATTATTTTCGTCAGCCTTACTTTTGTCAGCTTTGTTTTTCAATTTTATTTTTTGTAATTCTTTAGCGACTATACAACCACGATACTTCGCTGGATGCGGTTCGCCACAGTTGCAGCATTTAGACTTATCGGACATTGTCTTTTGGTACTCCGAAGTTAAATGTTTGCCGGCGCATTTAACACATCGTGGAGATTTTCCAGAGAAATTTTTTGTTTGACCGATCGATTAACAGTTTTTGCATTGAGGAATTAAGTTTAACGGTTTGACCGGTTCAATCTTTACAATTGTGTTAAGAACACATTTTATATCATAGATTTTCTTCACATCTTTGGTTGGGTCAAATGACAAAAGGAACAATCAAGCGGTTCTTTAGTCTTCCATTTGAGTTTGTTTATCGCACCGATTGCTTTTAAACCTTGGTTGTTTAAGTCATTTATAATCGATTCTTGATCACACGAATGGTGAAGATTTTTTACTATAACTTTTATTGGCCTAGTTTGCTTGTCTTCGTAGCTCAACCAGGAAATATTTTCGTGAGTTAAGAGTTT